TCCTCTTTTCTATCACTATATAGAGAAAAGGGATAAATAACTATTGATTGTTCAGAAGTTTGTTTTCAATATTATCAGTGTCAGAAACCGGTTGTAGCTGCTATTGCTCTCGGTTGGTTTTCCACTTTGCTGGGAGAAGAGGTCACAAGTTAGGTTGATGTTTTTCGACATTTGAATCAAGTGTCACACAGACGTTTCTACTCAGAGATAGATTTATGGAAAACCGACTTGGAGTGGTCAGTGCCTCAGTTTTAGAAGTTTTGAGTCACCCAGAAGAATACATAGATTCACGTTGTCACCAACAACACACAAAATGTTATCAGTGTAACGTTTGTAGAATGCAAACAACCATTTGTCCGTTTGAGGGGATACAAAACCATTCATTTCTTATGTTTCCTTTTTCCTGCTCAAAACGCTGTTAAGTAAATGTGATGTGCTAACCAGTGGATGAGTGACGAAAACTCTGTGCCATTGGATGTAACCTCATTTAATGCTGGAGGCTGTCAGATCCCCGAGGGTTTGGTGGTCGCATGTTCATTGATTGCAACATAATCTCCAGTAGTTTCTAGTGATCTGTGTCGAATTTGGTCCCTGGATGCTGAAGTACGTACCAAAGATCTTCTGCGGAAATAGATACAGGTATTGTGAATGTCGTATATGATACATTATTCCTAGGAGAATATCCTCAGATTTTGATTTGCGATGCTCCACACACAAGTTCACCAGCATTAGATCCTGTGAATATTTGTTGAACACTATCAAACTTGGGAAACAGAATAGTATATGTTTTTTTCCGAATGATTACATTTTGGTATTGTGTTATGATGCTTTTATCCTTCATAACTTTTGTCTCAATAACGAAATTAAGATGTACAATATAAGTACACTGCATCCTTGCGGATGTAGGTTTTCTCCAATGACATGCGTTTTCATATGAAATTATGCCAAGTTCAAAAGCCGAACGATTAGTTATGAAAACTGAGTACGCTTTGGAAACCAGTAAATCACATTTTCGCCTTTCATGACTACCGTTGCTTTAGATATATGTGCAGATCAGTTCCCGAGGATATAAGGTAGTCATTAACACATGTTATAACAAATAATTACCCTTTCGAATGAACCGATCAGAATAAATTTGTTTTATTTTGTTTGATGGACACGACAGAAGCTTGCAAACGGCCTTGGGTGACTGACACCACAAGCCAGTACCCTACTCTTCTATGTTTTATCACACCAGGTCACAGTCACAGTTCGATAAGCGTTGATATTTTCGCAGGTCGAATCCGTTCAGGTCAGATAGAACTGGAAGTAAAGTAAATATGGTTGATCGCAGTTAGCAGATCTAGTATTTTATGCGAAAACTAGTGCTGTTTTGCGTAGCCTGAATGAACCATGTAAAAGAGAACCAGAAAAAATATGGCTTTTGCGTGTTTTTGTATGAACTGTTTATCCTTAAGACCGGTCAACTGCGAGTGATCGGGTGTATATCCATGCGGGTTAACTTCCGTGTCACACGGTAGTTCCTACTGTGACAACTCTGATGTTGCTAACCGGATGGAGGGTACACGGTAAGTTTTAGGACACACGACCTGTAAAGACAGTCACTCATCAGCTATTTTACGTGAATGGGCTTCGTGCGCCATGTTTGATGATTACATTTCCTCCAGGGGCAGTTTTAAACTAACGCACTGCCCAATAGTGTTGAAGTGGGGACAAATCTGTCACTCCAAGCGTGACCGTTTTACCTGAGGCCCAGGTGCCACCCCTCCCCCACGAAGTTGCCTTGAAATCAACCCATCCTACTTACTATTGTTTTTGTACGTGGTTTGTATCACTTAAAAGCAAAGTGACGGTAGCACTTATGATGATTACAATGATGATAACGTTTCTAGCAGAAGTGTCTGTGGGTGGGTGAAATCTATCCGTGGTTAAAAGGTGAGGATATTGTTGAGCGTTCCCATCTATTCCTTACTTCCGCGCATCAGTTTTTGTATAATATGCAATGTGATGCACAGCACATACGTACACAAGCTTGATGTACATAACTTTGGGCGACAAGGTTAGCCAATGATCGATTGTTAAGCAGCGGTGCAACAACATCACACAAACGCAGCAAACGCTGTGCACGCATGCGCCACAGAAGTCGTCGCACAGTAGGACAACGACTGGTGGTGTGCATTTGCCAGTGTGTGTGCGTGCGTGCATGTCTGCAGACGTTCCGTTCACTAGCGTTTATCACTACATACCAGTATTTTTATACCCACATGCTCGATTTAGAATAAGCTAAGAAATCCAAATTGATCTAATCTGCTTCCCTGAGTGGGCAAATAATTTTCGATAGATGGTGAATATTTTGTGTTCATATCTGTGTTCAACCGTCTGAATGCAATCGCCGCCGGAAGTGAAATCGCAACCCGGGAAATATTAAGATGTGTTCATTCTCTCTTCACACGCAGTGACCTAGCGATGAATCCGACATCTCCAGTTGTCGATCAGGAGAATATGGCGAGATATGATGACACACAAATTTGCAGTCCATTCCTATCCGAGTCGCAACCGAACCTCACCGGGGACACAAATGAGTCCAGTGAGATTGACTTGGTCAAACCCGCATCCATTCCCTCCGAGTTACATTTGACTTCGGAAATGCTAGATAGTCCCTATTTTCCAACTTCACTATCCAGTGTACTATTATACCCCAATTCGGATCTAACCCTGACTGGACATCTATCCAACATTCTCAACGAATTAAAAATAAATGATACAGGATTGGAAGCAGGTTGTAAGGAGCCCAGGTCGCCAGATCTGACAAGTGCTTCCAGCTCTGACGAAGTCGAATCGTTGAACGAGCCGACCTCTTTACCTCGAGCTGATCTGCCCATCCCAGATACTCTTTCGACACTGGAGCGGAATCTAATACAACCGCTGATAGGTCAGTCCCGACTATCCGGGTTGAATCAACTCCCATCAGATGGATCACAAAATCGGAAACCAGAATATAAAGAAATTACGGCAATTGTGGAGTCTTATCCACCGGACTCGCACGAGGATAGTTTCAAAACGTTAGAAATTATTCAACCGTTGATTGAAAATCGACCCAAGTCGGGCACTGTGCCTAACTCCAGCGTGCAGAAGTTGCTGAAAAATCGCGCACTAACTGTGTTCAGTTTTGCTCCTCTGCAACCCGCTGCGAAGTCATTTAGTGCAAACGAGACTCGAACAATTCCCATAGATTCGAGTGA